CAAGGTACCATCAAAGGTCCTCATATCTCTCCTCTGATGGACCAGACCAGTCATCAACAGATGCTGCCTCTTCAAAGAGCCCCACAGACTTACCATCACCACTGATGCTAGCCTGTTTGGATGGGGAGCTCACTTTCAATCGCTCACAGCCCAAGGCCGCTAATCCTCCATAGAACAGTCGTGCAGCATAAATTGGCTGGAGCTTTGAGCAGTACACCTGGCTCTCTGCAGCTTCCTTCCACAGGTACACAATCAACACATACTAATATTGACCAACAACGTAACAGCAAAAGCTCACATAAACAAACGGGGGCACACAGTTGAAACACCTTATGTGGGAAGCAGAAAGCTTGTGTGGTTGGATGGAGAACAACCTGCTTTCCATCAGGGCAGAGCACATTTCGGGCCTGTCGAATACACAGGCAGACTGGCTAAGCAGGGCCGCGATCGATCAATCGGAGTGGCACCTCCATCCGACCCTGTTTCAAGAGGCTGTCAGAAGATCCAGGCAGCCGGTGATAGACTTGTTCGCTTCCCCCCTCAACTCTCAGCTCCCCAGATTCATTTCCAGGTACCCCTTGCAAGGAGCGGAGAACTTCAAAGCGCTCCGCTGCCGTTGGCCCCTGGGTCTTCTGTACACATTCCCACCACTTCCACTGATCCCCAAGTTCATCCAGAAGCTGCTAGACGAGACGGTGGAGCTGCTTCTAGTAGCTCCTTACTAGCCCAGACGGCCATGGTTTGCAGACCACCTCAGTCTATCCTTATCAACATCATGGAGAATTCTGCCAGACAGGGTTTTGCTAACACAGGGACCCCTTCAACATCCAGACCCTCAATGGTTGCACCTGACCGTGCATTCAAAAGTGATCAAACCATCAACCAGAAAGCATAGGAACTGAGAAGTGGTCTGTGGTCACCACCTGCAGAACCACTCCTTTATTGGGGATGTCTTGCTAACTGCCTATGCTTTCCACCTGTTGTCTATTCCATTTGCACAACAGCATGTGAAATTGATTGTCAATCAGTATTGCTACCTAAGTGGACAGTTTGATTTCACAGAAGTGTGATTGACTTGGAGTTACATTGTGTTGTTTAAGTGTTCCCTTTATTTTTTTGAGCAGTGTAGTTTTCCTTGTAGTGATCACTTCTGCTCATCGTATTTCGGAACTGGCAGCTTTGTCAATCAGACAAGACCTTTGCATCTTCCATTCTGACCAGGTGGTCCTTCGTCAAGATCCTACGTTTATACCCAAAATTAATTCGGTTTTTTCAACAGGGCACAAGAGCTGATACTTCCTAATTTCTGTCCCCGGCCATCCCAAGGGTTAGAACTACAATGGCATCGGCTTGATGTGAGATGAGCATTGCGCATATATATTCACCGCACAGTGACTTTCAGAAAAACGGAAGCTTTTATTTGTGTCATTTCAGCCCAACACTCAGGGATGCAAGGCTTCATCTTCCATAATAGGCCGTTGGCTACGGGCCGCAATAGCGAAAATGTATCAGACTCAATCACTACAGGTGCCCAGGGGCATAATAGCTCATTCAACAAGGAGCACCGTAACATCAGCAGCGTGGGTCACGCAGGCACCAATAACTGAAATTTGTCGAGCCACAACCTGGGCCTCTCCATCGTCCTTCATTAGGCATTATAAAATAGATGTGTTTGCATCTGCTGAGCCCTCCTTTGGCAGAAGAATTCTGCAACGGGTCCACAGGGACCAGGAGGGGAGTACAAGCCAGACGGAGTCCCTCCCGTAGAACAGGCCAAGCTTTGGTATGTCCCACTACTGGATGCTCTGAACAGCTCATGGGAGAAAGGGTGTTGGTACTTACCTGACATGCCCGTTCTCTTTGACCTCTGAAGAGCATCCAGCCCCACCCTTTTTCCATCCGGTGGGGTCCTGTTTCGGCCAACAAAATGTTAGGACATTGAGGGCGAGGGTGTTTATTTCTCTCATCTTCGCCAAAACTGGGGAACGCTGGGGTGGAGTCCCGTGGAGGAGGAGGAGCATTCCACAAATTAAGCCCAGCCTAGACATGCAGAGACTGAAGCACCTCCCACTATTGGATGCTCTTCACAGCTCAAAGAGAACGGGCATGTCAGGTAAGTACCAACGCCCTTTCTCAAAATGAATAATTCAGTTTTGTGCATGAGAATGTCAGGAAGTTAATCAATTAGAAAGGATTTGGAGAAGGATATGAAGGGCATTTTTACTTAAGGATATTAGGTTCTCAGTTCTAGGTATATGTTAGTAGATAATAAAATTATTGATAATATTGAGATTGAATATTAAGGCCTTTTGCAAGGTGTCAAACTCTAAGCCTATATATAATTAATTCACTGAGATTGTGGTTGCTAATATGTTCCAGTATAATTAGTGTAGCTGGTTGCTTTGAAATCTTAGAAAAAATGTTGAGATACGCGTTTTTAAAAATTTCACAACTAGAGTATAGTTGTTATATAATACATTTAAACTGATGGATGTTCTAATATCACCTAGAAAATATCACAAATCTCATATAGCAATAGCACTTAGATTTGTATATTGCTTCACAGTGCTTTACAGCCCTTTCTAAGCAGTTTTACAGAGTCAGCATATTGCCCCCAACAATATGGGTCCTCATTTTACTGACCTTAGAAGAATGAAAGAATGAGTCATATGAAAATCCTGAAATATTTTGAAATGTGTTATTCTCTTAATAATTTAGGGTTATCATGAGCTTCTTGCGGATCACAAGAACAGTATTACCAGAAATTTTAAAGTAAATTTTTATGAATAATAGAAAGTGATTTAAAAGTCTTTAATTTCCATGTTAACTATATTAATTATAGTTTAAATATAAAACAATATTTTGCAATCACGATTAAATACAGTTTATAAAATCAGCATGCAAAATAAATTACAGTATTTCAAAATTTTAACTATATGGAATGTTGACAAGTCTGCAAGTTTTGAGTTTTATTTATCTACTAAATTTTTATGGCTACTCATGTCACAGGTGATTCCAGGCAATATACAGCAAAAAATATAAAACCACAAACATGTCTAGAATAAGCATGTAAAAAGTTTTTTTATATATTTTGTATTTTGACTTGTCTGGAATAAAATATTATATCAGTAAAGCATACAAAAATGTTTGTTAAAAAACATAAAATATGTAAAAGATTAGATTTGCATTGGAGCTGGAATCTCAATTATGAACACATTCCTCTTTTAAAAGTCATGTAACTTATCTCTTTCACTCCTTATCCATTCTCTGGATTTTGTGACTTTTTTCATATTAGATTCGTAGATAAGTTATAGAAATTTTTGTTTTTTTAAATCTAAGAGCATTTCTATAATTGATAGTTTAAGAATGTAGAAATAATATTTCTTTCTAATCGGTTGTTCTACAGTTCTTCATGTTTTCATATAAGCTTACTGAAATTCCACTTTCTGTTCTGGAAACAAGTTTCCAACCAATGACTTGGTTTTTTGCTTTTGTTTGGTTTGTTTTTGCCTTCAGAAGTTCTTTCTTAGTCTGTTTGGTACATATTATGAAGAAAGAACAAATGCTGCTTTAACTACAAATGTTATATTTATTATTAAATTCAAAAAGGCAGTTGTGCAACAGTCTTTGTTGAGGTGTATGGCAATAAACGGTTCCGCCCACCCTCTTTCAGGCAAATATATGTGTAATATGGTGTGTTTCAGAATGAAGCAAGAAATTATCAGAAGCAAGAAAAAAATGTAACAGTTACAAGGATGAGTAAGAAAAGGGGTAAATGTCTGTGTTGTATTGTTTTTTCCTATAAAGATTTCTTTAGAGAACTAACACATTAAATGTAGTTCCTTGTATTGTTTCAGATACCATTTTTTCCTCCATATAGCAGTGTTTCTCAAATTTTTAGATGTTAGCTCCTGTTTAAAGAGCCACCTGGAGGCTTTGACTAGAGGGGCAAGTTCCCAGATCTGGCTGATGCACTCAATGAATGACATCTTGGCTTCAGTAACTCATACTCTCATTATAAGGGACTTCAGCATTTTTATATCAATGATGGGATAAGTTTTGATTACTTAGTGATCTAATTCAGGGATCCCCAACCTTTTCGACGCCGCGGCCCGGTTCCGACATCAGCTGGGCGCCGTGGCCCGGTACCGGCGTCAACTGGGCGCCGCCATCTTTTTATGACGAAAAGGCGCTTCCGGTGAGCTTTCTACCCGGAAAAGCTCACCAGAAGCGCTTTTTTACCAAAAAAAAGATGGCGGCGCCCAGCAACCAGCGGCCCGGTAAGGCTTGTTCCGCGGCCCGGTACCGGTCCGCGGCCCGGCGGTTGGGGACCCCTGATCTAATTGATACTTGCTTCCAATAAGATAAGTGCAGTGTGATTTGTGGGAATATTTATATTGCGATGAATGTCCAACTTTCTGTTATGGAAGCAGAGATTTAAGTTTGGAATTGCTGCCTAGATGAAGAAAGTAACTGCATGTGAATTTTAGTTTAGTTTACTTTATTGTCATTGCACATTGTACAACAAAATTAAATACCATCTTAAGTGTACTTTACAGTAGAATTCAATAGAGTTACTGGGATAGAAGCTGTTTTTCAGCCTATTTGTACTTGTTTTTATTATCCTGTACCATTTGCCAGGTGATAATAGTTCAAAAAAAGCATGCCCAGGATGAGGTGGATCTTTGAGAATGTTTTGAACTTTTATACTTCTTAAAATGGTGTTATAAGGGACTATATTTTGACCAAGAAAATTTAACCACAGTGCCTTCGTAACTCCCAGATCAACTGTTTGGATGGATGCCTTTTCTGTCCTTTTCCTTTCACCTCCCAGAGTCACTTGTTAGTGAGATATAAATTAAATAAATAAAATGCTTATTTTATACATTATTGTCAAGTTGGCAAATGGATTTCTATAAGTTAACAGGCAGAACATAAGTGTTTTTTCATAACCTATGTAAACAGTTGACTGTTAATATTTTCTCATTTATATTTTTCAGATTGAAGAAGGTAGCAAAGCTGCAGCTGTGGATAAATTGCTGGCTGGAGATGAGATTATCAGCATCAATGACATTAACCTCTCTGGCTTCAGGCAAGAGGCAATCTGCTTGGTGAAAGGTTCACACAAGTTTCTAAAGCTTGTGGTAAAAAGGTAAGAAGATGTCGTAGCAAAAACTGAAATTGGGTTTTGTTTGGATGTTGTTAATTTCATGACAATGAATAATGTTGACAGAAATACCTTTGTCACTTCACAATTTTTTGTGTGCATTTGCTAAAATAACTCTTCTTTAACATATTTTACTTTTAAATTGCTTCAGAAAGCTAGGCTATGTTGTTTTTCATTCTTGGGGAAAGATTACTTCATAATAGGTCGAGAAAACTTTTAGGGTTTGTTCTGTAGCATTTCTAAACCAAAACAACTGCAGGGTAAACATCTGGCTTATTCCTATTTTAAGTCGCATACTTATGACTGACAGTTTGGGGGAAATGTACCTGATATATAGAAATGATGCTTTCCTGGGTTTAATCATTGAATGATTGTAGGAAATATTCCTTCTCATTCCTTTTAAGATTATAAAGTATGGTATTGATTTCTCCATTGAAGTTTTTATATGTGTAGGCTTCTGCTTATAAGACACTCTAACCCAATTTGGAGAACTGTCCATGTATTCAATCTACAGCAGGGGTCGCCAACTTTTTGGACCTCAGGGACCACCAAATTCATAATTTTAGATCCCAGGGACCACTAACCGGTTCTGTGGGCATGGCTTAATTTTGGGTGTGGCTTGGTGGTTATGTGACTGGCTGGGCAGGGCTTGTATGTAAATATTATAAATATTTATATAAATATTGAATTTTTTGTAAAAAAAGAGCAACTTTTACCCAAAATCAGGCAAAGCAGGCAGGCAGATTGAGTTGCTCACAGAATCACAGATTCATTCAAAAATCTGTCTATCTGCTATTGGCTAGCTCAATCTATCACATAAAATTTGCTTGCAAGCAAACTCATAAAATTTGCTAGCAAGCAAACTCACAAAATCAACTCACAACACACCATGCATGTAAATATTGAATTTTTTATTTAAAAAAAGAGCAACTTTTACCCAAAATCAGGCATAGCAGGCAGATTGAGTTGCTTATAGAATCATTCAGTGATCTATTTATCTGGCATCAGCTAGCTCAGTCTCTCAAATTTGCTTGCCATGAGTCTGCACTGCATTTGCTTGCAAGCAAACCTTCAGTCCTAAGGGAAGCAGAGCCAAAGATCTAAAGACTAGCTAGAAAACAAACAATCCAACCATTTCCTGCTTCCTAGCTAATCTAAACCTTCCAGCACAGCAGAACAGATGATGGTCGGAAAAAGGAAAAATAGCAATTGTAGCAGGCAAGTTTGCCGGATAAGGAGTGAGTGGGTGGAGAGTGTTCCCGCGGGCCATGTGGGCGGCACAGCCTTGTGTTTCTGTGCAGCCTGGATTAATTGCTTTGGGAGGGTGCTCTGGGGGTGAGATTTCTCTGCAGCCCACCAAAATTGGCGACCGCTGATCTACAGTTCTAATATTCCTAATAACCAGTAGCTTCAGAAGTCTGGGGTTTGTTATCCCTGCACATATTATTGAGCTGCCCTTTAAGGGGGATCAATTAGCACACCTGACGACTTGACATTTAAACACCTTAATTGAAGCAACATTCAGTATGTCTGAGCTTCACATATTACATCAAACCCAGAGGCTACCACTGCCCCTAATTAAGGAAGCACAACCTATTAGCACCAAAACTCATTGTGTTTACAAATTTGTTTGCAATTGTGGAGACAATTAAATCAGAGACAATTAAATCGGCAGAACTGATAGGTGTTTGGCTTTCAGAATAAAGGAGCGTCTTCCAAAATGCATCCAGACAGCCTTGAGTAATCCAACAACAACAGCAAATCATGGCCATAAAATGCCTTCTTCGGCCATTACAAGACACTATCTAGAAGTCATCAGGTAGATCAAAATTCTGCATTTAAAGTTCTATGCCATCAGAACTCTCATTTCCTGCGGTTTGCTGAGGCAGTTGCCATTAACCATTTGAAGCTCCCCTTGTGCATACAGAGACAGCTTTATGTCAGTCTATGCCTCCCGTGGGCATAAGCAGGGGTGGGCTTCAAATAATTTAACAACCAGTTCTCTGCTTGCTGGGTGGGCGTGGCCATGGTATGTATCTAATGTTAATACAGTTGTCCAGTAATATTTCACAAGAAGAGTTCTCCACTCCTCTACTCATTGCAGAATACCTTATGCCACCAGACTTGAAATTCTAGACCTAGAAAACCTAGAATTATGCCACCTTCGGTTCAATCTAAGTATAGTACATAAAATTATACATTGCAGTGTCCTACCTGTCAATGAATACTTCAGCTTCAACCATAACAATACAAGAGTACACAATAGATACAAACTCAAGGTAAACCGCACCAAACTTGATTGCAGGAAATACGAGTTCAGCAACAGAGTGGTCAATGTCTGGAATACTCTACCTGACTCTGTGGTTTCTTCCCCAAACCCCAAAAACTTTAACCTTAGACTGTCGACTATTGACCTCACCCCTTTCCTAAGAGGTCTGTAGGGGGCGTGTATAAGCGTACCCATGTGCCTACCATCCCTGTCCTATTGTTTCTTTTTATTTTTCTTATATGTATCCATTTCATGTATTCATAACTATGTTTATACTTATACCTGTTATCTTATAATCGTTTGATAAAATAAAATAAAATGGTGGACATGGCCTAGTCAGGCTCCTGCACCACCCTGGGAGTGGCTGTGGGGGAGCCACGCCGTGCCCCCGTCCCCTGTTTTTGACCTAGTAGGCCTCCTTGTACCACCCTGGGAACGAAAACGGGCTTCAGGGGACCCGTTTTTGCCCTCCCCGGGCTCCGAAGACTTTCCTCGAGTTTCTGAGGTCCGTTTTCACCCTCCCCTGGCTCCGGAGGCTCTCTGGAGGCCTGTTTCCACCCTTCCAGAGCCTCCGGGAGGCCCATTTTTCACTCCCCCCAAGCCTCTACACGGGCCCTGAACTTACCTGCGATCCAAAACGGTCCACGTGGGGACTCCTGGGAGGGGTGGGGCTGGGTGGGCAGGGGCAGCCAGTTGTCGGAACTACCAGTTCGCCGAACCAGATATATAATTAACATCCGGTTCAGTCGAACTGGAGAGAACCAGCTGAAGCCCACCCCTGGGCATAAGGCTTGCCATTGGTTGCTTTCCTGCACATGTTATAGGCTTAAGTAATTGATGCTCTTGCTAGATCTTATATTTAAGGCTGATTTTAACTGTGTTATTGTAATATAGGTACTGATGAGTCAATACAAAATGCTTGTATCTACATCCAGCCCGCGGGCCTTGAGTTTGACACCCCTGGTGTAGATAGAGTAATGGTTTTCATGACTTGATTTCCAAGTAAATGCCATATAAGAGAAGAATTTTTAACTTTTTAAATGTTTATATAAAGGCAAAAATTTCTAAAATTTTATGTTAGCCACATATGATAGAGAATTAGGAAGTGATAGGAATGGAAAATCAAGGAAACAGTAAACAGATGTCAGAATAACAGCAAATATGAATAGTTTCTGGAAGACCTACCAAAAATTATATAACAAAAAAACCAATAGGTTATAACAAAAACTCATCTGGTCTTGTATATTTGATGGTATTTTGGGTTCTTGTTGGAAAAAGAGAAAAATTAATATGTCACCTATTCCCTAAGCTGCACAGAAGTTTTATTATATATTTATTTCAGGTCTTTTAAACATTCTATAGGTTATCTCTTTGCTCAACTTTAAAGATATATCTTCTCCATATAGTTATAACTGTTTTCTATTTCTGAAAGATTACATGAATCTGCATCTAGATATTGGCTCTGTTTTGTTGCTTCATTAGCAAACCTGCGTATCGTGGTAAATCGGGTCACCTACCTGGCTAATTCAATTTTATCACCTTTTTGCTATGGATGCTAAACAAACCAATGATTTGTTACAGGCATGGTTTTACCAAAAGTAAATGCTGTTGGTTTTTGGCAAAAAATGTTGTAAAATATGGTCCTATGAGCACGAACATGTGATGCAGTTGCCAAGCACCCAAAATGTGGTTACATGATAATGGGGCAACCATTGGAAGTTTGAATCCAGTTGTAAGTATTCCCAGGGAGATTTGTCGCAACTTCAAAGAGTTGTTAGGTGACTGGTCCCAAATTGAGGACTACTTGTAATGTATTTATATATTTTAGCAACCCATCTTGCTGTGCTGCAAGTTTCAGTGGTGGAGTTTTGGACAGCTGAAAAAAATTGCCAGTATAATTTTGCCATCATCTATATCTATTGTTTAGCTTCACTCTTCAGTTACTTTGAAACAGAAGAACATTAGAATTTCTTAGGCTACTTAGTCAATTAATTTGAAATCATCAGATAGCAGAAACAAACCAGACCCAAGTCAGAAGGTACCAGTTAGTTGCTCTCTTTTTCCTCATTATGCTGAGGAATATATTGAGAATTCCTTTATAAGTGCTTGAATGAGAGAAGCTATTGGTCATTGTTTTCCAGGGTGTTTCCTGGTGGCAAAATACGTTTTCTTTTTGAAGTTTTGAGCATTAGTCTGAACCTTTTCATACATTTTTAAAATGCAGTCTGTTGTGAACCATGCAGTGTGCTTTGTGAATGCAGAAATACTGAAATAGTGAAGACATTAGTTTTCTGTCCTGCTTATAGTGCTTTGTTTAAACTTAATTGCCAATTAAAAAAATAAGTGAATTTTAAGTCTCCCTATGGCTCAGTAGCTAAGATGCTGAAATTGTTGATCAGAAAGGTCGGCGGTTCGAATCCCTAGCACCGCATAACTTGTCCCAGCTTCTGCCAACCTAGCAGTTCGAAAACATGTAAAAATATAATGTGAAAAATAGGAACTACTTTGGTGGGAAGGTAATAGGGTTCCATGCACCTTCGGCGTTTAGTCATGCTAGCCACATGATCATGGAGACATCTTTGGGCAGCGCTGGCTCTTCAGCTTTGTAACAGAGATGCGCACCACCCCCTAGAGTCGGAAATAACTAGCGTGTATGTGCAAGGGGAACCTTTACTTTTACCTATGTTAAAAATAGTTTTAAATACTCATCCAATTC